TGCGCTAACATTTTGTTGTCATTTTTTGGACAAGTCCAAGATAACGTTTGAGCCGTTACTTAATTGCTAACGATTTATTGTTAACTTTTAGATAATTTACAAAAGTCGTTTTTTCGCGTAAATACCATGAAATACTATGGTCATTAAACTTAACCTTGGTTAATAGTTAAGGCATTTTTGCGTTTAGAGTGCGTTCAAAAATCCTAACTATGACGTTACAAATACCAGACCATAAAACTATATCGCTGAGCTAGTTATTCAACGTGGTTAATAGTCTTTCTCTTTTTAATATATATATTTAATATGTTTATGTAGGAATAATGTTGTGTGCTAAACATATCTTCTCCAAAACATACCGCCAACCTTCGTCTTTTTCTTTGGGGTTCCATTCTAAATTTTGAGTTTCACAATAATAATTTTCGTATAAACGTTAAACACTGTTGGATTTTAGTTATGGTAAACAACAGGGAAGAACTGTTTATATATAAAAAGAGGTATAGAAAAGGGAGGTATAAGAACTAGGGTTCATAGAAAAAGAATATACAAGGTATAAGAAGAGGCAAAGAAATGTATTTACACCTGTAAAAGCATAGAAATTAAATATAAATGGGTAAAAACACATTTCAAAAATTATAGGTTATGAACAAGTAAACAAATGTCAAATATTAGAAACCTAACCATGGTTATATGAATTAACTGTGACGTCATGACTTATTTAACCGTAGTATTTCATAGTATTTACGCGAAAAAACGACTAAAAAGTTAGCATAACGACAAGTTTTCGTCAAGCGCTTTCCCGCTATTTTAGAGATTATTGCGCATGCGAAAGTGTGGTGTCAATTCTTATAAGATATTTTTGATAAAATCATTTATTTGTTTAATAGTTATTAATAATTAATTTTTACGAGCTCGTATAGTACCTATAATTGAGTCGTATAGATTCAAAACCCGCCAAATCCATTTATTGAAAGTAAAGGACAGTAGATATGTTTGTAATACATATTAATTATGTTGTTATGGAAACATGTCTTCTGTCCTTTACTTTCAATAAATGGATTTGGCGGGTTTTGAATCTATACGACTCAATTAATGCTAGCATTAATTTGTGGTGTTATTTAATTAACTGGTGAGTGTTTATTTTAAATTTGTCAGCTGATATCAGGACGATCAAGAAGGTTATGTGCATTTTAACAAATATTATTTTATAAAATTGTAATTATGGACTGTGTAAAACCGCGAAAGAAGAAAAGTTTCTTAAATTTAACACGACGACAACAACTCCGACGCCTCGAAATTTTGCGGCAAGAGGATCTTTTAGTTTTACCTTATGCACAAGCTCATGATGCCCAAGTTCAAGTTGTTCAAAGAATTGGTATGGTATGATAATAATATGTGTTGTTTTGTATATAAATTTAGATTAAGAATATATTTTGTTATTTCACCTATAAATTGTATTGTTAGAATTCATTTTAAATTATTTATACAAAATGCTCACGTTAAATTGATGCAATATTATGTTATTTCTCTCCTATCAATTGAAGGTTTAAAAATGCATTGATGTAAATTTTAAATTCATATTATCAAGATGCAATTAAAAACTATCTTATTAATCATAATAATTATTGCAAATTTATATCAATACAATTTTTTGTGTAAAATTTTAATTGGAAGAAGAAAATCAACATATACCTATCGCATTAGTTGCATGAATAAATAATTTATTCTAGATTCTCTCCCCTGCCCTCTCCACAGCATACAAAAAGATACCATTCGGATGACATATTTATGCTAGCAATTGGTTAACATTATGCTACAGTATTGTGCACTCAATAAGTTGACATTCAGATAACAAACAAGTAGCTATTTAGGCATCCTTTATTTGGATAGCAATACGTCATCATTATGAGGTTATCAATGGGACTGTCACTAGATAACAATAGGCTAACATTTTGTACATCGGAAAGTTATGCAAAGAACAGACATTAGTAATAGTTTCGGATAACAAAAATGCAACATTTTGGACAGTCCAAAAGTCAGCAGTTGACATTTTGATGTTGGCATTTGGGCCACCAAAAAGTTATCCTAGTTCTATCTGGGTATGCAAGGAATGCGGTCGATGTTGCCAATGGTAAAAAAATAAAATTCCCTATTGGGAACATTCAATTATATTACGTTGGCTAAGTTGAAAATTTGAATTTCCCGCACAAACTAAATTAATTTCCATCTTTTTTTTTAATAATAATAAATAATAATAATTCCCATATTTGAAATTCGCACCTTAATTTATTATACAACATTGGAACTACCTTCTTTATCTCTGGGAACTACTAGAATGGATGTCAGTTTGTGCGGGAAATTCAAAATTTCAGCTACATTGAAAATTTGAATTTCCCGCACAAACTAAATTAATTTCCATCTTTTTTTTAATAATAATAAATAATAATAATTCCCACATTTGAAATTCGCACCTTAATTTATTATACAACATTAGGCTACCTTCTTTATTGGGAACTACTAGAATGTATGTCAGTTTGTGCGCGAAATTTAAAATTTCAGTGTAGCCAACGTAATATAATTGAATGTTCCCAATAGGGAAGTTTATTGTTTTACCATTGGCAACATCGACGGCATTCCTTGCATATGATCAATTAAGCGATCATGCGCAGTAAAAGGAGCATCCAGTGGCATTTAGCGTCTCGTGATTTCATTCGGTTATGTCAGAAAATACCCGAAGAGGTTATGTACAAATACTGCCACTGTCAGACTGACAGTGTCAGTTGAGTGAAAGATGGTCACCAAGATATATCTAAAAGAATATAAAGAACTAGGCATTATACTAATGAAATGCATTTACGACAAAATATGATTATAATTATAGGTACTATCGCTAACAAAAAAAACTCATACAGCTTAAAAATCTAGTGTTCCTGATTTTCTATCATTTCGTTGGAGTAATTATGGCTTTTAACATGATACGTCACATTTGAAGGGTCTAAAATTAAATACAAAGTTAGGTTGAAGTTTGAAAAAAAAAATATTTCGTCATCTCTCTGTTTTTGTCAATTACTGCCCGCAAACGGCAAAGCATGGAAGTCGCCGTCTTGCTTTATCTCATTCCAAATGGCTTCAATGGCTTTCCAGAGTTCGTCTGCATTGTTTGGTTGAAAATGTTGTTAAAAAAGTCATAATGGATGTGACAAAGCTCGATGTCAGCTTGACATTGACCGAAAAGTTTTATTCACACAGCCACAATATAGCTGTATGAGTTTTTTTTGTTAGCGATAGTACTTACTTTATTTGTTTAAAAGCTCTAATGTTCAATGTAACCAACCATTCCACAAGATTCCTCTGCTTTGGAGCCCGTTATTAATAAATCACTTATCTAATATCAATTACAAATAAAATAACAATAATTTAAAAAAAACATAAACCGAAAAAAAGAAACGTCAAAAAATCAATTCTTCTTCTTCTTCTTAACTAAAATTATAGATCAAGTGGTTTTAAAACTAAAATATTATAACGTGGCGCCATCTATCGTAAGAATCTTAAACTAAACACACTGGCAACCATAGAAAACGTTATCAATAGCCTAGGGACGTAATTAGGAGATTTTTTTTGTAAATATCTCGAAAACGGTAAACTCAATTGAAATTCCGATTTCACAGAAATGTTTAAAATTACAAAACGCCTTGAATAAAACCATAAAAAGTGTAGGTCAGAAAAAATTTAACTACCCCATTGTACCTACTTAAAATATTTTAAATTTCAAATGTAAACAATTTTTTGACAGATCAAAACAGAAAAATATATATTAAAAAGAGAAAGACTATTAACCACTTTGAATAACTAGCTCAGCGATATAGTTTTATGGTCTGGTTTTGTGACGTCATAGTTAGGATTTTTGAACGCACTCTAAACGCAAAAATGCCTTAACTATTAACCAAGGTTAAGTTTAATAACCATAGTATTTCATGGTATTTACGCGAAAAAACGACTTAAGTCGTTTTTTCGCGTAAATACAATGTAATACTACGGTTAAATAAGTCATGACGTCACAGTTAATTCATATAACCATGGTTAGTTTTCCAACATTTGACATTTGTTTATTTGTTCATAACCTATAATTTTTGAAATGTGTTTTTACCTATTTATATTTAATTTCTATGCTTTTACAGGTGTAAATAAATTTCTTTGCCTCTTCTTATACCTTGTATATTCTTTTTCTATGAACCCTAGGGAACTAGCTAGTTCTTATAACTATTTTTTCTAAACCTCTTTTTATATATAAACAGTTCCTCCCTGTTGTTTACCATAACTAAAATCCAACAGTGTTTAACGTTTATACGAAAATTATTATTGTGAAACTCAAAATTTAGAATGGAACTCCAAAGAAAAAGACGAAGGTTGGCGGTATGTTTTGGAGAAGATATATATATTTAATATGTTTAGCACACAACATTATTCCTACATAAACATATTAAATATATATATTAAAAAGAGAAAGACTATTAACCACGTTGAATAACTAGCTCAGCGATATAGTTTTATGCATAGAAAAAGAATAGAAAAGGTTTTATGGTCTGGTATTTGTGACGTCATAGTTAGGATTTTTGAACGCACTCTAAACGCAAAAATGCCTTAACTATTAACCAAGGTTAAGTTTAATGACCATAGTATTTCATGGTATTTACGCGAAAAAACGACTTATACTCATAATAATAAGTTATAGGTATATTTTACCTAAGTTATAGGTATATTATACCTATAACTTATAGTTATAGGTATATGACTATACTGTTTTAAAAAACCTATTACTAAAACCGAGTTGGTATTACCAAGTTGGCAACACTGCCAAAGAACACTTTGGTTTATAAGTCCATGGTTGGTTGCTCAGATTAGCGTTGTCGGATTTCTTTTCGGTGTAAGGGAATGTATCAAGGCGTTAATTGAAGTAATCAGGTAAAACATGATTGCTATTATACTTATTTAAAATATTTATACCTATATATTAATATTTATATATATATATATTATTTTTTTCTATAGACCTGTATATAATCTCTATATAAAAAATGTGGTTATGTTTACTAAAGATTGTTTAGTAGTTGGTAGCAGTGTTGCATTGTAGCTGTCAAGTTGTGTTCGGCGTCTGTAATTTTTATTAATTAATATTTTATCTTAAAAAGCGGCAAAATGACCAAATTATCAGCAATTCCTTCAATCTTACCTTCAACCACACAGGAAAAAGTTGCTAACTCTAAAGTATTGGTTGTTGGTGCCGGCGGAATTGGATGCGAGGTTTTAAAAAATTTAGCTTTATCCGGCTTTCAGGATATTGAAATAGTAATATATTTAAATTGACCTTTAAATTGGACAAAAATAATAAATATTTTTTTATTTTTTAGATTGATTTGGATACAATTGATGTAAGCAACCTAAATAGACAGTTTTTGTTCAGAAAAGAACATGTTGGTAAACCAAAAGCAGTAGTAGCAAGGGAAAGTATTCTAAGCTATAATCCTGATATTAATATTAAAGCATATCATGACAGTGTAACAAGGTAATACTTAATAAAACTTAAGTTTCAACCTCAGTAATTTTTTAAATTTTTTAGTCAAGACTATGGAGTTAACTTTTTCAAGCGATTTAACATTATTTTAAATGCTTTGGACAATAGGGCAGCCAGAAGTCATGTGAATCGAATGTGTTTGGCAGCGAATGTTCCATTAATTGAGTCTGGAACTTCAGGATACTCTGGTCAAGTTGAATTGATTAAGAAGGGTGAAACTCAGTGTTATGAATGTACCTTAAAACTGCCACAAAAAACTTTCCCTGGTTGCACTATCAGAAACACACCTTCTGAACCAGTACATTGCATTGTTTGGGCAAAACATTTGTTTAAGTATGTTATCTAGGTGCCTTAATATTTTTTTTTACTTTGTAAATTAACTTCTAGTCAACTTTTTGGTGAAGATGATCCTGATCAAGATGTGTCACCAGACACAGAGGACCCTGAAGCCAAAGCGGAAAATGAACATAGCTCCACAGAATCTGGCAATATTAAAAGATTATCAACAAGACAATGGTCACAAGATATTGATTATGAACCAGCACAGCTTTTTACAAAATTTTTCCATGATGATATCAAATACCTTTTGACAATGGGTATGTTCTCCTTTGCAATACTTTTACTTTATTATCAATGTTATAATGTTTTAAATCAATTCTTTTTATTCTTCAGGCACATATAAATTAAAGTGTTGTTTTCAAAACAACTTTGTTTTGGTGTCACATTTTAAATGTTAAAAACTTTCTAATGTGATTAAAAAATTATTTCTGAACACGAACTTGAATCTACTAGAACATAATGCAAATAATGGAAAAAAATGTGTAGTGTACAATAAATTAGGCTTGCATGTAGGGTTGGGACAGTTTTCAAATGAAAATTTCAACTTTGAAAGTTTCAAACTTGAAATATTTAATTTAGTTGGAAAAGTGAAATTTTTAAAAATTTCAACATTGCCTGTGAAACTTTCAGAAATTTCATTGAAAGTTTCGCAATTTACTGAAAATTTCGCATAAATTTCACATGCGGCCTCCCCTGGGACCTTTAATAATAATTTACAACAGATTCTGAATCGACCAATAAGAACGAGTTATCAAGCGTCTGGGCGTTTTTGTTTAGTTCGGCTTGGATTTGAATACACTATAAGTAATTATTGTTACTTATATGAATAAATTAATTTAAATAATTTAATTCAGTTACCAATTTAATTTTGAAATTAAATCAGACTAAATTTTTTTTAAAGGTCATGATTAATTTAAACTTTTACTTTTGCTATAATTGCATCGGAAAACGGATAAAAAATGCCTTTGGCTCATAAAATTTTGATGAAGTTTCTTCAATTTTTGTAAAATTTCAGTAAAATATAAAAATAATAAACATATATAAATATAAAACAATGAAAGTGGCACAATCTCATTAGGTTACCAAAAAGTGCTATATCTCTCTTAGTTTTAGTAATTTTAAAAATATTTTAAAAGGAAATCTCAAGAAATTTGTGGTAAACATAGGTATTTACTACCACAGAGGGGTAGGAGGTAAGAGGCAATTTGCCATGGTCACTGACTGGGCTTATTTCAATATTAATATATTACACTTAAAGTGATTGAAATTTATTGAAAGTTTCAATAAATTTCATGAAATTTCAGACATTTAGGAAATTATAATAAATTTCATAAATGTCGTGAAAATTTCAAGTGAAATTTCAAGTACAATCAAAAAGTGAAATTTTCCCAACCCTACTTGCATGCAAAAGTAAGTACTTATTTTATTGGTATTATTTACGACAAATAGGTCTATGTTGCATGTTTCCCTTAACAAATTACAATGTTTCAACATAATGTGTTGAAACATTGTAATTTGTTAATGGAAGAGACATTCTATTTAAATGGAGAGCAGTCTGTAAGATCAATGTAAAGTACCTTTTTACTTGAATGCGCAAATTTTTCTTTGGAAATAACAGTTTAATTTTATTTACCAATTGCAAACATTTATACTTTAAGTTGTTAATAATAAAATATACTAATAGTGTAGTCTGTAATAAACGTCTCTTTTCCAATGTAACAATTTTGAAATCTTCAAGCATGCTTCTGTAAGATATCATATATGGATAGCGGCTATTCACCCTAAGTAGAGATAGAGAGGTGTAATCATGTTTGGCGCATAATTTTGATTTTAAATGTCTCTAACAATACAGTATATCCTAAAATTCATTACCCAGCAAAGACGACTGTAAAGGTTCTATAATGGCCCTTTATATAAGTGCCTTTAATGAACTAAAGGCCCTATAAAGGCTAACTTTAATGGAACTTTACATATTATGTAGCGTTCATCTTTAATGGGCATGTAACAGCAGTTAATAAAGGCACTTACAAGAACCATTACAATTTTGATATGGCGCTCTAAAGGTTCTGATATGGCAGATTAAAGGTTCAAATGTGGCAAACTAAAGCTTCTGATATGAGGTGTTAAAGATTCTATAGTGGTTATTTAAATAATTTTTAATGGAAGTATTAAGTGAAGTATCTATTATGGAGCCATTCCATGCCAAATCAACACACTTTAAAAAGAAATTTTTCCTCACCATTTCAGATTTTCCTAAAATTTGGTATACTTATACTATGTACTAAGACTAAGAAAAATACCAATTTTTAAATTTTTATCTCACACCGTTTCCGATATATGGCTATGTAAAGTTTTTAAAAACTCGCGAAAAAAGTGTGAACGTTTATTTTTTAAATTGCGCTGGAAGCTGTCCTAATTTAGTTAGAAAGATGGGAGAGGTGTCATTTTGCAGCATTTTAAATGCTCTTTCAAATGACATACGACTGCCAAGGGTATTAATGAAAAGATTTTGTTCAAAATCCATATACGAGCCCTAACCACATAATGTTCGGACACTTCATAATTTATACAGAAATTTTTTTCGTGAATACTATCTCAAAATTATTAGAAGTTATGAAAAATTCAGCTTATTTTGGCAAATACCCCTCGAAGCGATTTTTATTTTTAAAAAGTTTACCTTTTATTTTTAGCTTTTAAAAAAAGGCTAACTTTTTAACTTTTTTTTGCATGAGTAAAAAAAGTTATAAATGGGCCCATTAAAAAGAACATAAAATATTATACAAACCCTGAAAATTTGGTAAAAATTGTATAAATAATAAGAAAGTTATAGCGATATATATATCTGCAAAATCTCCCGTTTCCTAAGAAAATTGCAAAAACTCTTTAAAAATAGCAGTTTTAAATTACTTATACTTTTTTATAACTTATTTATTTTTTACCAAATTTTCAGGGTTTGTATAATATTTTATGCTCTTTTTAATGGGCCCATTTATAACTTTTTTTACTCATGCAAAAAAAAGTTAAAAAGTTAGCCTTTTTTTAAAAGCTAAAAATAAAAGGTAAACTTTTTAAAAATAAAAATCGCTTCGAGGGGTATATGCCAAAATAAGCTGAATTTTTCATAACTTCTAATAATTTTGAGATAGTATTCACGAAAAAAATTTCTGTATAAATTATGAAGTGTCCGAACATTATGTGGTTAGGGCTCGTATATATTTTGAATGAATTTTTTTTCAAAAAGTACATAATTTAAAATTCTCAAAATATTTGTATAAATACTTACTGTACTGTTTTAAACCATATAGTAAAATATAAATGTGGGGTCTTAATGGGTTCATTGTTAAAAAAAATATTTCTGATGCTGGTTTTTCACTTTTAACTAATTTTGACATTATTCAACGTTTATCAGGCTTAAGCCTGACAATTGTATTTTTTTTATAATATCGGCTGTCATCATTCCGGACTTGTGTAATTTAATTACTGTGATACGCTTGTTTTGGCGATTCATATTGAACCAAATTTTAAACAAAACAACATTAAATTGAATATTTTCAAAAATATAAGGGTTCTAAGAACCCTAATATTATCGGCTGCCTACATTCCCGACTTTTTTAATTCAATTACTGTGATACGCTTTTTTTGGCGATTCATATAGAACTAAATTTTAAACAGAACAACATAAAATGACTATTTTCAGAAATAAAAGTGTTCTAGGAACCTGCTCGAGCAAACAATTTCCGCGAAAACCTTATTGATAAATTTTAAACTCGCTTAAAAAAAAAATTCAGGGAACTTTTATCGGACCCTGTATATATTCGTAGTTTATTTAAAAATAAAACTATAAATGAGGTGTGTTTAAAGTGATTTTGGCGTCAACATGGAGCCTACTATCCTTTTGTTATATATTACAAACAAGAAGACAACATTGAACATTTGAGCTTTGTTATTATTTCAGAATGGTTACAGCACAACACAGTAGCTGTTTATACATTTCAAAAGAAGCTCATTTGTTATTTAACAAACAAATTTCAAAAGCTTCCAAGAAAGATATCTTATTTTTCTGACGGTTCGGCCGCTCAGTATAAAAATAAGAAAAACTTCCTGAACCTTTGCCTTCATGAGGAAGATTTTAACATAAAAGCTGAGTGGCACTTTTCAGCAACAGCACATGGGAAAGGGCCATGCGATGGAGTAGGCGGTTCTGTTAAAAGGCTGGCAGCTCGCGCTAGTTTGCAAAGGCCATATGACAACCAAATCCAAACCCCACAAGATCTCTTTGAGTGGGCAGTAGAAAACATACCAAAGGTAGATTTTGCCTTTTCCACTCAAGAGGATTATGCTGTTTCAGAAATGTTTCTGGAAAGCCGTTTTAAACAAGCACTAACCATTAAAGGAACACAATAGTTCCATGCATTTATTCCCAAAACTAAATCAGAACTACTAGTGGAACACTTTTCAGATGAAATGCAGGGTTGGGAGAGGAATGTGGCTAAACCAGTGGACACACTGAAGTTAGAAGACGTTTCAGGCTATGTCACCACTGTATATGACAAAAACTGGTGGCTTGGCTATGTTTTAGAAAAAGATGAAGAACATGATGAAGTGAAAATAACTTTTCTTCATCCTTGTGGGCCAGCATCATCATTCTCTTACCCTAGACATGCAGATGTCCTATGGCTTTCCGTTTTGGACATTCTAGTACGAGTGAATCCTGTTACACCAACTGGAAGAACGTACGCTCTTGGAGGAAGTGATGTGAAGCTAACTCAAATTGCATTTTCAAAAGTTAATCAGTAAACAAGACAATCTTCAGGGATAATTGCCTACTTTTTTTAAATCAATACTTAATTTTTACATAGGTTAGTTGGTGTTAGTAATTTATACTAAACTAGTTGTTGTTAGTACCTACTTGGGTTCCATGTTTAGTTAAACACCAGGTAACACATATTATATGTAAACAAGCGTATCTTAATGTATGTTTTTTTTAATAAACCCATTATAAGTTAATGCCTCATTTAAAAATTTCTAATTGGACTAACTTTTTAAAGGAATATTTTAAATGTAAAAAATGATGTACCTTTTGGAAAAGCCTCGAATAAAAATTACCCTAGTGTTAAAGATAAATTGTCAAAATTAGTTAAGTGAAAAACCAGCATCACAAATATTTTTTTTTAACATGAACCCATTAAGACCCCACATTTATATTTTACTATATGGTTTAAAACAGTACTAAGTATTTATACAAATATTTTGAGAA